AAAAAAAAAAAAAAAAAAAAATTTGAATTCAGTCAAAAGGCTGCACTCACGGATCCAACTGGCACTCAGTGTTTTTTGGAATCTTGTTACAGAGATGGTCTGGATCATTTAGGGATCAAACTCATCAGTTCTATATTGATATGACCAGATTATAGAAAAGTAGATTTTTCAAAAGAAAAAGACAGATCCATCAGTGTTTAATGACTTACCCCAAAGTTAATTATTGGCAGAGTAAGAACATGAATCCTGTAATTTCCTGATTGCTATCCAGTATTTCTACTTTGCCATGTGATATGATGTCAGTAATAGATTCCATCATAAATTTTGAGTCTGCTTATCTAGGGCCTGTGACATATCTGAAGATCCTTTCTAGAGTCATAAAAGTTGTAAAGGTGACATTCTGGCTGTATCTCAATTTGGGAAATTCCATTTTGCCTCAGGTTCTGCATTTGAGGCTTCTCCTCTTTTTGGTTAGTAAAAAGTATTTTCTTTAAAATAATATAGCAAAACAAGACAGAAAACCTAGAGGAACGTGTGAAGTAAGACTAGGAAATGTTGAATGCTGTTGAAGCTGAGTAATATGTGCAGGACTCATGTATATATACAGTCATTTTGCAGATTTTGAAAGTTGCTTTGTTTGAGCTAAGGGATATTTTAACTGTGGATATTTTATTTCTTTGTTCATATTTACGTCTCTGGGTTAAAGAAAAAAATAAAATCAGCACTAGTATTTGTATTATCCTTAAATACCCTCCCTCTCGCTGGGTCTAGGCTTACGTTCAAAAACAGTTTTCTCTTAGGCCATAGAAGAATGTGCTTTTTAATTCTGCCAAGCTATTTTCCTCACAGCAGTAGCCAGAAGGTTCAACCTGTAACGTAACATTTTCAAGGGGATTGTTATTAAGGTAAGGCTTTTCTAGGCCAAAAAAAAAAAAAAAAAGAGCAAAAGGACTTCAGGATTCTTTTTTTTTTTTTTCTGATTTTTTTTAATTTTTATTTTTAAAGATAAAATCTCAACTTTGTTGCTCCAGTAGAGTGCTGTGGCGTCATAGCTCACAGCAACCTCAGACTCCTGGGCTGAAGCAATTATCTTGCCTCAGCCTCCCAAGTAGCTGGGATTACAAGCACCTACCACAGCACCCAGCTGTTTTTAGAGGCGGGGTCTCGCTCTAGCTCAGGCTGGTCTTGAACTCTGGAGCTGAGGCGATCCACACACGTCAGCTTCTTAGTACTGGGATTACCAGCATGAGCCACTCCGCCCAGCCCCTTCAGGATTCTGTTATACCTAGCAGTCTTAGTGTAAAAACTTTGGAAGATGAGTCAGCATAGTGTCTTCAGATTTATTCAATTTGAATTCTGTCACTGCTGCCCACCGCCTATGACCTTGGACAGAATAACACAGGTATTTTTCTAACCTTCAGTTAACTGCCTAGCTCACTGAATTTCAGATCCTTCATTCACAGTATAGAAATATTACTACATTTTGTGATTCCTATAAAGATTAAGTTGGTAAAAAATAAAACTAATCATTTGCAGTGCTAGTCAATAGATATTAGTTCCTTTTCTACTCATGACTGTAGAAAAAGATAGATGTAGATGAGATTTTTTTTCTTTACTAATCTATTATCTTTTTTTAATGTGTTTTTTCCTGCTTGATCTTTCTTCCTGTTTGTTTTCACTTAGGGTCTGCATGCTGGGTAACCGCACCCTTTCATCAAGACACATTGACGTTTGCTCTAAGACTAAGGAAATGAACAACATGACAGTGCCATCAAAGTTATGGGGCTTCTTCTGTAACTCAAGTCAGTTTTTCAATGCCACCTGTGATGAATACTTTGTTCACAATAATATCACTTCAATCCAGGGCATTCCTGGATTGGCTAGTGGTATCATTACAGGTAAGTGAGGGGTTATCGGAGTTTTTTCTTGTTCTCTAAGGAAAATAAGCTTTGTCTTCTTATCCTTTATTGTTCATGAAGACGCATTGCCCTGGTGCCACTTCCCTACTTAAGCATCGCACACAGCTCTCAATTCAACTTATTTCCTCTTTTCTTTCTTTCTTTTTGTTTTTTTTTTTTTTTGAGACAGAGTTTCACTTTGTCACCCTCAGTAGAGTGCTATGGTATCATAGCTCACAGCAACCTTCAAACTGGGGGCTCAAGTGATCCTCTTGTCTCAGCCTCCCAAGTAGCTGGGACTACAGGCACCTGCCACAACACCTTCCTATTTTTTTTAGAGATGGGTGTCTAGCTCTTGCTGAGGCTGGTCACGAACCTCTGAGCTCAGGCAGTCCACCCACCTCAGCCTCCCAGCATGCTAGGATTATAGGCATGAGCCACTGTGCCTGGCTATTTCTGCTTTTCTGTTAGTAAAATTATTCAGGACTCCATTAGAGTATTATCTTCTAAAATTTACCTCCTTTTGAAAGCAGAGCTAAGCTCACTTTTTAACCTAGGATAAAATAAAACATTCTGTGTATTCATGTGAAATTGCCAGTATTCTTCCTATATTACCAGCTAGAGTAGAACTATTTAATGTTACAGTATCCACACATTTGTTTTCCTAACTCAGCTAAATTTCTAAAACTTGTTTGTTAACTGACTTTTATCTTAATGTTTGGTTCACACATTTCTTTGCACAGAAGCAAGTTCACACTAAATTATTAGAAACAGCAGTGATGACCACAAAAAAAAATAATGGTCTTTGAGGAGGCATTCAGCTTGAGTTTTCTTAACTTTTACTAATTTGCATTAGTAAAGTTAATTCTGTGTACCAGAGCATTTTGTCAAGTTCTGTTTGAACTATATGAGAAAGACATGTTTTTGGTTTCATTTCTTGGAACTCTCCCTTCTTAGGAGGGGTATCATGTTTTTATTTGTTATTGCATAACATATACATATGTGTACTCATATAGAAGCAAAAATTCCTTTAAAAACCGTATAAATGGCTCAGCACCTATAGCTTAGTGGTTAGGGCACCAGCCACATATACCGACTCAGGCGGGTTCAAACCCAGCCCAGGCCTGCTAAACAACAATGACAACTGCAACAAAAAAATAGCCGGGCATTGTGGCAGGTGCCTGTAGTCCCAACTACAGTCCCAGTCCCAACTGGGGAGGCTGAGGCAAGAGAATTACTTAAGTCCAAGAGTTTGATGTTGCTGTGAGCTGTGACTCCGTGGCACTCTACCAACGGTAACATTGTAAGACTCTGTCTCAAAAAAAACCCAATTAATTAAAAAATAAATAAATAAAACCATATAAATGAGGAGTCTGATTTTGAATGTTATTTGGATTATTATTGTTTAGAAATTATCCAGTTACCTTCTTTCCATACTGCTGTTGCTTATATTCCCTTTTTCCCACTGCAGAGAATCTTTGGAGTAATTATCTACCCAAGGGAGAAATCATTGAAAAGGCATCAGCCAAATCTTCTGATGTCTTAGGTGGCTTAAACCATGAATATGTTCTTGTTGACATCACTACCTCCTTCACTCTTCTGGTGGGAATCTTCTTTCCTTCTGTCACAGGTAAGCAGGTAGGCTATTATCTAATTTAGAAGCTACCAGACCCAGAGAGTGATTTTTCTCAGGAGATAGAATTATATTCTCAGGACTCCTAGGTTTGTCTTGTTTTGGGTATCAGTATGAATATCAAAGTATTCAGAAACTCAAGAGATTAACTTATTTCTTTCCCTTCTCTAAAGGTATCATGGCTGGATCAAACAGATCTGGAGACCTGAAAGATGCCCAGAAGTCTATTCCCATTGGTACCATCCTTGCCATCCTGACCACCTCCTTTGTCTGTATCCTTTTCATGACTCCAGTCTGAGTCCTAGTCATTGGAACATCCAGTAGAACGAGGGTGGTCAGTATTTTAGTCCGATAATAAGGATATCTGTTTTCTACCACTTCTTGCCAGATAAACTGCCCACTTCATATATAAAAATCAAGAAAGAATGTATGGGCTCGGCGCCTGTGGCTCAGGCGGCTAGGGCGCGAGCCACATACACCTGAGGTGGCGGGTTCGAATCCCCAGCCTGGGCCCGCCAAATAACAATGATGGCTGCAACCAAAAAAAAAATGGCCAGGTGTTGTGGCGGGTGCCTGTGGTCCCAGCTA